TGTAAATGGGCAACTCTGGTAACGCTGCCCTCTCATTCATTGATCTGCTAACCATTATGCTCACGTGTCCTCTGATAATAATAGCTTTCTAGAATTAAACATTATTTGGATAATTGGTAAAAAAAAAGAAATCTCTTAATAGCCCTAACTGTGTGGTAGACCTACCCGAAAAACTAAAAAGCCATTTATTTCATTTGTAGACCTATCGGTATTTTTTATTTGTGCTATCATTAGTAATTTCTTTATTTGTTCTTAGTTTGTTATTAACTGCTTAGCCTCCTTGTCATTTTTTATTCAATTCAAAGTTTTAAATCAAGCTATCTCGTGCTACTGCAACAAAATGACCCAACTGTAAAATCAAAAATAGTGAGTGAGCAAAACTTTGTTTAATTACCATTATAACTAGCTATCTCACAATGTTTACATATGAATAAAAGCCTACATTAAAATCTGTCATATAAATTGGTCTTTTCATTAGAAATTAGCCTACTGATTGCCACCATTGATGGACAAATTTTTTTTATAATATAAAAAATATCTGTATGACAGTATATTCTGCAGTTCTCCCCTGCTGTACCGAATATCTATACTTTTCAAAGTATCATATCGAAGTTAGAAATTCAAATATTGTGATCAAAATAAATTTTGTAGGGTGCCACAAATTTGTTAAAATTTCCAAAGGGTGCCGCGACTAAAGAAAGGTTGGGAAACACTGCTCTAGATAGTTACAAGATCTATTGCTACATTGACTTTTAAGTACATTTACATATATTGCTACATTAAAGGCACAATATGTATGATTTTTTTTATTAAAATATCCAAAAAGCACTAGAACAGTGTTATATATTTTGCTGACTTGTGTACTTACATTATCCCAAATGTTTCGAAGAATGTTTAAATCCAGAGAAATAAGCAATTTGAACTAGTGACACGGACCGTGTCCATAGTGTCATTGTGTCACCTGCCAATGACGTCATAACCCCTCGATTTCCGGTTTTGTTTTGTAGAAAACATGGAAACACCAAAGACGCTTTAATATGTTGTGCGTTTTAATAGACCGGTGATGACCGCACAGAGTAGCATTATAACAGAACTTTCAAATGTATCTAGTATGATAAAACAGCGCTGCTTTTTTTCCCCCACATACGCACGACTGGAAGGAGCAGAAGCGTTCGACTGTGGCATAATAAAAGCTCCGCTGCTTTCGAGCCGTGTGTCATGCTCGTTCAGCGGCCTCGTTTCGCTTTGACGGCTTTCAGCCTCACCCTGCTTCATTCTACTACGTTAATAAATCATTAGCTCATCCATGAACATGATTTCTGCCCGAGTCCCGTCAGATTGCATCGGCTGTGGGGATGAAGACTCCAATGATTCCACACTCAGTCACCGCGTCATCAAACTACGCCTTTGTTTCTTTGTTTGTTTTGAATACGCGCCCTCTAGCGGCAAAAAATTATTGTGCCTTTAAGTTATAATGTGAAGACTCATATGTTCTCCCAGAACCCAAAACTTGTTCTGACTAGTGTCTTTGTCTGCAATGTGTTTAGAACTACCCTTGCCTTATGGGAAGAATCTCCAGGATTGAACGTAAATATGCCCAGAGATGCTCTGTGGAATGAGAGTTCAGGGGTCACATCAAGCTTGAGCGTTTCCTTGGAACCGGCTTGTTCATGGGACCCTTGTGACCCGTTACTATTGCTGAGTTCACCATTAATTCTGTCATGCTTTGTTTCTTGTGCTCCCTCTCTTTTTCCTTCATGCACAACTTCAGAGTTGTAAGTGGTGCCCTGACACAAAGATGACCCTAAAGACAAAAGCCGGTCTAAAAATGGCATTCCTCACAGACAGGCTGGCTTTGGAGTGGTGGTGTGAATATCTTCTGCAAGTTCTGTGTGTGGTGTTTGAGAGTGTCGGAATGAAAAAAAAACGTCCTGCTTTTTGGGGGGTGGGAATGATAGTTTGTACATATGTTCAGTTTTGTAGTGGTGGAAGGAATCCAGATGTTTTCCGTGTAGCCTCTTTCATGGAGATTACTTCAGCAAGAATCAGTATACCAGCTGGATTCATCCACCCCTCACATTTTCCCCTTTATCCTTTACTTCCTCAAAAAGTGCCTAAAATTCCCTCGAACGTTCCTCAAAACCACAAACCTGCACAATCAACAAGTGTTTTCACTCTGAGTCCCTGGAACAGGCACGTGGAGGACCAACGTGAAACACGAGGCAGGAAGTGAATAAGAAAGGAGATTTTGACTGCATGACTGTACCAGACACCGTCACCTCTCCCTTGCCCACATCGAGAAGCCCTACGGAGGAACATTAACAGCATGTAAATATTTTGATATCTGGATTCCATGAATGTGAAAAGAAGGTGGTTCTGTCCCAGCTGGCACCTCAGCTACTGAGGAATGTCTGGACTTGGAGGGGCTTCCCCTCATGCAGTCTCACTGCTACCGTTTCCATCGTTTACACATGGACCTCTCGCTGTTAAACGCAGTCAGATGTGGGAATTTCTCACTTATATGAATGACTGTAAGTGCGTATGTCTCGGACATACTGGTCTATATGAGCTGACAGACAGCATTTACAGTCTCAAAGATCTCTTTGTCAGTTATTATTCCTAAAAAAAAGCCCACACGTCATGAAGTAAAGGTGATGTGACTGAATGAAAGATGACGTCTATTTGGTTGTACACGTACACATTTACACATTTAGATTATTAACAGTGATTTAATCTGATAAACCTCTTTAAAAATGTAGTGCTGTAGTGACATATTGCAGAATAGCAAAAAAAAAATATTTAGGTACCTCACGAAACGTATTTTGGACAGACTTCTGATAGAGATTTACTTTGACCTGAACTGCAATCTTGATGGCTAATGGGTTTCTGGCACTATTCAGTATTTTACTGTTATTTCCTACAATGTCAGACATCTTTTTAACTTTTTGCATGAGGTGAAGAGCACTGTTGGAAGCAGTTGCTTGCTTCATTTAATTTATTTCATTTTATCTGTGTTCACTGTGAATCGGACACAAGACCTTGAGCTACAGGAACACAAAAATACCTTTCATGTGAATTCAAAGTGTTTTACGGTTAAGTGAGCTCAATAGGGTCAGTTTTATTTTGCGTCTCTAGGAATTTCCCCAAAACAAAACCTTGGATTTGAAGTATTGATGGCTCCTGTCGAACTTGTCATCCTATCAGTCAGGCAGATTACAACATTGCCTTCATTGTTGGTCACTGCATGTCGAGTCATGGACCAGACATTTTTCAAGCTTCACAAGGCACAAATTGTTGGTTCAAATATAATGAACAGAGAACATTCCTTGTTAGCCTGATATTTTATCCCTTAAAGGGTGCTTGATGTAATACCCAACACCTGCAAGGCATGTTTTGTATATATAAATATGAGTGTTTATGAACTGTATTTTCCATCAGCAAGCTCAAATGTACCTGTGCCATCATAGTAGGTCAACCTCTGAATTTCGTATGTGGGCAAAACCTGAGATTGATCAAACAGGGTGGCTCTTTGGTATAAAAATATGCAGTGGAAGGTGTCTGGTCTGATTTCTTTAGGCGGAGGTCATGCTATCAGGCAACAGGCGTAGGCTCTTCCTCACATCTGGCTGGATGACCCCGGTTCACACCCTCAGCTTCAACACTCAGCTCTTTGGTTTCCTCCAGACTTCCAGTGCTTAAGCAAACAGTGATGTGTCTGACTCGAGAGCCCACTTAAACCGTACCCAACCCATCGGTCTGGCCTTTATATAGTAATATTTACATTTAACATTTCTGCTCACTGCGTCTCCATGCGAGGCCTCCACACTCCTTTGGCTTTATCCCATTGGCCAACTTTCTCTCCCTCTTTTCTTTCATGCACACACGTGGACATTAAATTAGAAGCCACAGTCTTCGTCTTATGTTTACCGTGGTCAGTTGAAACATGTCTGGTAACCACCTCCCCGTTAGTAATACAGCATTACTGGGTTTACACATCTAAAACATTCCATTCAGTTGATATCATGGCAAACAGCCCTCGTGAGGGCACATGTGAGGGTATTTTTTGGAGCTAGCAAAGATACTTTTGAATTTTATAACAGTTAATATTCCTCCAAGCTATAAGATTCCTGTAACTGAACGGATTAGATGACAGATTCATGTGTTACTGTAATGAAAGTTCATGAAGGTCGAACATAGCTCATCAAAATCTAGGATGACCACCGTAAGACTGGTTAAGAATGTTTTGAGAGATATTGAAGTGAGGTTTTTGGTCAAATTCCAACTTTGGCCTTGTCTTATAAACTGTATCTGGTCAGCTTTGTCATAAGTGAGTCATGAATTATCTTCCTCCTCGGTGTGGCCCTCAGATTCCACCCTGAATGAGTAGAAGACACTCTTCTGATTAAAACAGTAACTGGAACATCTCCAGAACTTTCCCCAAGTAATTTACTGCTACACGAGAAAGTGACCTGATCCATTCTGGGAATATTGACTGATAAAGTGCTCTTTTGTTTTTTTCCTCACCAGACTCTTGAAGAACGGGTGGAAGAAATCCGTATAAGACCCATTTCATCCCATCTCAAGCACATACCCGTCATGGAAGGCTATGTGGAGATTAAGGACCGGGGCAAATGGAGGCAGATCTGCGATGAGCAGTGGACCCCTTTGAACAGCCGAGTCACCTGTGGAATGTACGGATTCCCCGGAGAGAAGAAGTACAACAACAAAGTCTACAAGTAAGAAAAAGTATCCACTGTTTTTCTTTGTATGACAAAAGACCATGAGTTAAACATGAATTTGATCCCTTTGAAAAAAGATACATTTTCAGGCCTTTGTGATAGGATGCAATAAAAATTAAGAAAAAACAGACAAGAAAGAAAGCAGACACACACAGAGATTTTAGGGTTTCCCCAAAAGTAACATCAACTTTGTAAAATGTAAAGTTACCATGCAACAAGAGTTATTTAGTCCTCAGTTGTGTGTGAACGCCTCCCCAAGTGAATCATGGCCAGATTGTATCCCAACATAATTCTTGGCCATTTCCCATCTAGCAGAGAACATTGTGTTTCCACTGTAACTCTGTTAAGGACATTTTATTGTAAAACTGCCTATAAATGATCACTTGAGTGTGTTTTAACCACATTTGCACACCAAAACACACTATAACACACGAAAGTTCATAGCCAGCGTCTATATATTTGTATATGTTTCTAAAAATAAAACATTCCAGGAAATGTTCAGAAAATTTTGGGTTTTTTACATCTATTCATGGGTTTATTTCTAAACTAAGCAACATACTAAAGAAAGTATTTAAAGATGAGGTTTGTCTATGTTTGTTTGTTTGTTGGAACATTTCATAAAGGCCCAGTTTTTAAGCCACTGGCCACGTGACCTCACTTTTCCTCAGTGGCAGTCCATTTATGTTAAGTCTGGGCCTTTAATACCATTGAGAAATGCAGTTTTGCAATGAGTAGGATATCATAAATGGCATTGCCTTACACCACAGTCAACGTTTAGTACCAAAAATGCAACTGAGATATCAGGAAATGCTCACAGATTTGAACAGACTTATATTGAACTCAGAACATGCGGTGCTCATTAAATTAGTGTTTAATGATTTCCTAATCTGGAGGAAAGGAAACCTGCAGGCTTCATAGATTGTTTGAGTCAAGATGTTTGGTGACCCTTGCTGATCTAGGATTTTCTCTGTACTGTGGAATCATTGGAAATGTCATGTTTTCTTGAGTTAGCACAGCAGTACTGCCACAGGCAATGTCCCTATAGTAGTCATAACACATCCCTCTGAATTATGGTTGTGATATCCTCCTAAACAAGAAGTACATTTCTGAAATATATATTTAATTCCATTATTAATTATTTTGTAGCATCTGAAATATATATTTAATTCCATTATTAATTGTTTTGTAGCACAACTGATCTTTATCCGTGGCTCTGTTTCACAGATCACTGTCCATGCGTAAGAAAAAGAACTACTGGGGGTTCTCAGTGAACTGCACAGGAAATGAAGCCCACCTGTCCAGCTGTAGGCTGGGCAAAGCCCTGGAGCCCAAGCGGAACGGCACATGTGGACGTGGCCTGCCTGTGGTGGTCAGCTGTGTGCCTGGAAGAGCTTTTGCCTCCTCATCTTCCACTGGCTTCCGCAAGGCTTACAGACCAGAGGTTGGTAGTGTAATCACTAGCACTGCTTAGCATCCAAATAAGGAGTGACGCTGGAACATTATGAATACAGTGTCATCAGCAAAAGAAAAGTCATTCATGATTGCCTTTGATAAGGCGTTCTGGATAGCATTGGGCTCACAGACAGACAGTTGATAAACAAGCCATAATATACTATTTAAAAGTATAGTAAAGTACTATTTAAAAGTATATTATGGCCTTAGACTTTCTAGAACATATTCAACTGATAGAAAATAGTAATTCATGGCATGTACAATCAACAGCACATGATGTTAGCATTAGTAGTCTCATGATTTGAAGGCGCTAGTGCTTCTCAACAACAACAAAAAAGAGTTACGATAGAATGAAAACAGCATTCCTAAGAATCTACAGTGCCAGCAGGAAAATATATTTCTAATCATCTTTCATGAGGGTTTTCCTTATGAACCAGTTAGCACTGGGCTCACTCAATCACATGTTTATACTGATAAACAACCCTTATAAAAATTAACCATAGTTTTATTGTAGTAAAAGTGTAGTGACCATGATTTTTTGCCATATTGATTTCCATTTCTATAACCACAGTTTTACTACAAATACCATGGTTAAACTATGGTTAGTGTAGCAAAACCATGGTTAATTATGGTAATTAATAACTATATTAATCATGGTTTTTTGGTTTTATTTGTAGTAAAACCATGGTTCATTTTCATAAGGGAAGCAACAATATTGTGCTATTTTATAATATATTATGGCCTTAAACTTTGTAGAAAATATCCATTACGGACAATAATGAGTCATTGACATGAACAACATTCAGAAAATGAAGTTTGCATTAGCAGCCTCATGCTACTAGCGCTGCTTAGCAGGAAAGTAAGAAGTGACACTGGAATAAAAATAGCTTTCCTAAGAATCTGCACTGTCCTCTGCAATGATATAATGAATGAAAATTTATTTTTGACTATCTACCATCAGCTGTTTGCGGTTAGCTTCACAGACTACTTGTTTGTACTAATGCACACGTGCAAATTAATTTTCCATTTTTTAAATTCTAAACGTCTGTAGAAGGCTGAATGTTGAATGCTAGGTTTACAGTCCCTCTCAGAGATGATTTCTGGTTGTGGAATGTTTGGCGAGTCTGTTTTCCCTCATCTGTCGGCCTCTTACTCACATTTCTGGAAAGAATTGCTTCCTCTTCCATTATGTTTCCTGTGGATCATCATGTTTGTACAGCCTGGATATCATAGTGACACTTCAGTCATGTAGTACATTAAATCACATTTTCTTTTCAAAGAAAAAAAGATTGCACAATATTGAAACACACTACAGACATCTAAACTGAGTGTGTTTATATAAGGGATGGGGAAAAAATATATCCGAAAAAGGCTGAACGTTTCTGGACGTTGATCATGGTAGTACCCTTGCTGGATCAGATTCATATACAGAGAGAGCTAGACTGAACAAACACAGGTCACTGAGGGTGTGTGGATTGATCATCCTGCTAATTTCTTCCATCTGATTTTGCAGCAACCCTTGGTTCGTCTGCGGGGAGGTGCGAATATCGGTGAAGGGAGAGTGGAAGTGCTGAAGAATGGAGTTTGGGGAACGGTCTGCGATGATAACTGGAACATGAGGGCTGCCACCGTTGTGTGTCGAGAGTTGGGCTTTGGGAGCGCCAAAGAGGCTCTCAGTGGAGCGAAGTTAGGACAAGGTTAGTTAATACATTATATCGGTGGTTCGAAACAAATGGATCATGGGGAGAGTTGGGAGTCAATCCTATACGAATCAATTATTTGATTGAGGAATTGAGAATCAAGAGTCGACTCCATTACCTTGATTTCTAAACTACTTCAAGTCTTAGAAGAACCTTAAAGGGTTAGTTCACCCAAAAATTCTGTCATTAACCCTTTAGGCGCCAGGGTTTTTTGGAAAAATGCTGGATTTTGACATCAAGATTTCAAAAGCTTGTGGCTTGAAAGGGCTTAAAGATAGAGATCTAATTAGCATATTATGACATCATCAGGAGGCACCTCTTGAATGTCATAATATTCAGGAAATAATAGATATTGAATTGATGTTTGAACTTATTTTAATGTTTTTTTTTGTCTTTTTATCCTCATTCCAAATGATCAGAAAATAGGAAACCAACAATAAAACAGGATAAAGTACTAAATTATTACTATTCTATATAGTAGTAAAACACATGTGAACAGTAGCCTACTTTTTGATCAGTTCATCAGAAATTATGAAAATAAATAATAATAATAGATATTGCCCTGCCACCCCCATCCCCGTTGGGCAAAGGGTCGAAATGATCACTTGTTTGTGCTTCGTGAACACTCTCACCTTGCACGGCGGCAACATTGCTCTGCAAAGATGTACTGGGAGAAGCGCGATTATTAGACGACCGATCGTCATTTCCAAAAGGCAAATATTCCCCTTCAGAGTCAGAATCGGTTAATAACATTTGCAACACATCTGCACGGTACAACTTTTTATTAGCCATTTGGTGATTTTCTCTCACAAATCTAACAATTTACTCGCACGCTATGAACTGAACTGCTTCCGCATCAATGACACAATAGCTCACTTGCTCTGCTATTTCCTCAAACACTTTGGAATGTGACGTAATTTTGGTCTAGAATTGAAGTACTACATGTCTGCCATCTAGTGGTAGGGAATACAAATGAGCTATTACACCATATTAGGAACTACAGTCTATTTGATTAAGTATGGCGTCTTGTCGCAATTTTGCGACTTTGGCACTTAGAGGGTTAATTACTCACCCTCATGTCGTTCCAAACCCGTAAGACCTCCGTTTATCTTCGGAACAAAAATTAAGATATTTTTGATGCATTCTGACACCTCTCTGACCCTCCCATAGATGGCAAAGGTACTGCCACGATCAACGTCCAGAAACGTAGCAAGGAGATCTGTACAGTGACGCGGTGGAGACGAAATGTTGAATAAAGTCATTATTTGTTTTATTTTGCACACAAAAAGTATTCTCGTAGCTTCGTAATATTATGGTTGAACCCCTGATATCACATGGATTATTTTACCGATCTCCTTGCTACGTTTCTGGACGTTGATCATGGTAGTACCCTTGCTGTCTATGGGAGGGTCATAGTGCTGTCAGAATTCACCAAAATATCTTACTTTGTGTTCCAAAGATGAACGGAGGTCTTACGGGTTTGGAACGACATGAGGGTGAGTAAATAATGACAGAATTTTCATTTTTGGGTGAACTATCCCTTTAAGAGCTTGTAGAGGGAAATTTGATTAATTCCATTGCCTCAGTTGATTTAGTACACTAAAAAGACTCGTTCAGATTTGTTCATCGATTCATTTGGTGACTCTTTTTACACCGTTACACCTGTAGGTGGAAATTAGAGTATTATGAGTGATTGCTCCAATCATTCACTCAACAGAATAGTTCAAACCTAGATTTGTTCGAACTTAAAATCTAGAATTGATTCCAAAAAGTTGGAATTAAACAGCTCTAGGCGCAGGTCTGTACTGACGGGGGTTAAAAAAAATGCTAAATGCAAATAATAAAATGCAACTAACCAAATAATAACGCATAGCTTATATTTCACAACTGGCTTTTGGAAAGAAAATAATGATGTATACCCATTAAGCAGGAAGCAAAAATCAGTCACACATTGTTCTAAAACAGCAGCATCGACGGCAGCCTCTGTCTCTGGCATTCATCAGACGTTCATGGATCACTGCTCTTTACTAAAGTGTCTTTGATCAGGCGCATGAGAGGCAGATTTTTTGAGCATTCTTTAGCAAGGAGAGTCATGCATAACGAAACATCTGTGCTCCAACTGCATGTGGAGATAGTAGCTCTTCAGCTGGTGTTTGGACAGGTTCTTAAAGTAATGGATGTTTAAGATCCATTTTCAAAGGACTTGCTGAGAGATGATGTGCACATCTAGAATTACTTTTACATTGCGGATCTGGGAGGAAAAGATTACATGCGCACTGGTCTTTTATTCCATATGCATACTGTAAGGATTCACTGCAATCACAATGAAATTAAGATGATCATTTTGCTAGTCTATTAAATATAGGAAACTCTGTAGGAAATATCCAACAGGGAAAATATTTACTAATTTCTGAAAAAATATATATTTAGCAGTAACTTTTGAGATGAGAACAATGCTTTCTTCTTTCTCCAAGAGGGTTTATTGACTAATGTGGCATAGAAATTAGCTGTCAATCATCAAACTGACTTTAGCCTTTAGCTATGAAAACTACTTTAAATCAGTCTCCAATCTGCTTTGATTCACGTTAAAATGCATTCTTCCCAAACAAAGGTCCGTTTGTGGTATTTTAAGGCTTTATTTTCTCATGTTTTTAAAAGTCAAGAGTGAGATCAACAACTCTTTGCTTACTCTAAACAAAAACTCCTTCAGATCTTCCGAATCACCCTCCTAAAATCCATGCACGTGGACGTGATTAATGTCATCTGATGTGATCGGAAGACAACTTCAAATAAACAAAACTGCATCATTGCTGCATCTACTGTTTCATGTGACTCCAGTGAATAATATCTGAGTATGACATCTGGTTGATGTTTATTAGCTGAATTCCTTTTTGTAGTTCCAAAATGTGCCTTGGAGCAAGTCACTTCAAGAATTGACCATGAATATCTATGTGTATTAAATATATCGAGAATATTTTGTACAATATATAAAATATGCTGATTGTTCTCTTATTATTATGAACTATTTTTAAGCTGAAACATGTAAGAAAACACAAAAAAAAAACATTCAATATTTCCGGTCCATGAACACGTTTGGTCATAATGCCCCATTACATATCATCATTAACTTAAAATTAAAAACTGATTATGGATGTGTGTGTTTTCTCAGGAATGGGTCCGGTCCACATGAATGAGGTGGAGTGCTCTGGATTTGAGAAATCTCTCACTGACTGTTACTTCAATAATGATGCTCTGGGCTGCAGTCATGAGGAGGACGCTGCCGTACGCTGTAATATACCTGCCATGGGTTTCCAGAAGAGGGTCAGGACCCTTAAACTCTCCTTACATATTCTATTATTGTTCTAACACTAGAACTTTCACAAACTGGTACTTTTGACTATAACAGATACGTCTAAGCGGAGGAAGGAACCCATATGAGGGACGTGTGGAGGTTCTGACTGAGAAGAACGGTTCTCTGGTTTGGGGAACCGTTTGTAGTGAAAACTGGGGGATGATCGAGGCCATGGTGGTCTGCAGACAGCTGGGATTAGGCTTCGCCAGCAATGCGTTTCAGGTAAATCTACCCACTAAAGTGCTCTCTAATCTTTTCTGGCTGCAAAATTTCCAGAAATTCACCAGAAGAGGTCCATTGTCTGTTGTCAGCAGTGTAGAGATTTCAAGCCAAGCAGATTTCATCTAATGAAGGGCCACTTTCAATAGTGCTGAACTAACCACAATGCATTGTTTCATGAATGAGTCATCATAGTGTTCGAATCACTCATGCGTATGAGACTATTTTGGGGTATCTGGTGTAGATGAAGGACTTTAATGAAGGCACATACACTATGGCAGTGGTTCCCAATCCTGGTCCTGGAGAACCCCCAACACTCCACGTTTTTGGTGTCTCTCTTATCTGACACTCACATTTGAGGTCTTGGAGTCTTCACTAATGAGCTGATGAGTTGAATCAGGTGTGTTTAAATATGGAGACATCTAAAATGTGCAGTGTTGGGGGTTCTCCAGGACCAGGATTGGGAACCACTGCGCTATGCAACCAGTGTGGCGTCCCCATTTCATCCATGCAAGTTTGCTGGATGCCGTAACCCTATTAAATCCCATTCATTTCAATAATTAATATTTGAATGTGTGTGTAAGATCACACAGACTGTCTAGATCTGGACTAGAGATGGGTATTTAACAGCCCAGTGACAAACTCATGGTGATACAGGCCTGGAAACTATGAATGCATTAGAAAGGGTATGGAGGGAATAGCTTGATGGGCGGTTTCATGAGTGGAAATTGGAAAACCCTTAAGTGCTTCTGCAGGCTAATGCCATGACTAAGTGGTATTATGATGATTGACTGAAATTTGCCACTAGCTGAGGCATATGGCCGCATGTCAAGACATTATGGCTGTACTTGCTTCAACTTTGGACACATTGCAGTTAGATCTCCTGTCATGGTCATTATAAGTCCCTCCTGAAAAGGTTAGCGTAATGATTCATACAGGCTTATGCTAGTGTGGTGTTGGTTTAACTTGTGCCCTGCTTATAGAAACCGGCCTAAACTGATTTGTTGGTCTTATTTGGTCTCCCAGCCTGGTCAGGCTGATCTTTTTGCTGGTTTTTGAGTTTATCTTAAACTAGCTAAGACCAACTTAAACCAGAAAACCAGCCTAGGCAGGTTTAATCTGTTTTTCAGCAGGGTAGACAAGCACAATGTAGCAAGTAAAGCTGTACAGCTATGATGTTCTTCCTGGTAAAGTGGTTGACCAAGCTTGACCAACTAGTCAATCTGAAGACCAGTGGGGCCTTAATTTCTCAAATTAAATTTAGTTTTTTTTTTAATATAAAATAAAATGCTTGCTGTTCCACATATACTAGTGTTCAAAAGTTTGGGTTCACTGAGAATGATTGATTGATTTGTTTGTTTTAAAGACATTCATATTTTTCTTCATCAAGAACACTTGTGAAAGAAATGTATACTTACAAAATATTTCTATTTCAAATAAAAACTATCCTTTAGAACTTTTTATTCATCAAAGAATCTTGTTTCCACAAAAAGTATTAATCTCCACAACTGTTTTCAACATTGATAAGGATTAGAAATGTTTCTTGAGCAGCAAATCAGCATATTAGAGTGATTTCTGAATGATCGTGTGACAATGAAGACTGGAGTAATGATGCTGAAAATCAGCTTTGCATCACAGGAATAAATTACATTTTAAAATATATTCAAATAGAAAACAGCTATTTTGAATTATAATAATATTTCACAATATTACTGTTTTTTCTGTATTTTTGATCAAATAAATGCAGCCTAGAAGATACTTAAAAGCGATTTAAACGATGCATTAATAGGGAAGTTTGTTCAGCGACGTGCTGTTGGTCACGTTTTCGGTTACCAAGCTCGAAAAGTGCAAGATACAACTTCCAGATGTCAGACTGGCCATTAAACATTTGTTCGACAGTCTGGACCGGTGGGTCTTTCCAGACAGCATGTGTGGAGGGTTTTACAATGGGGAGAGTTGAAGAAAGCACATGGAAAGTCTGACAGAATGTGCCCACATCCCCCTGCCCACGGCGGGAGTCCAGCAGGCTTATCTGTCAAAGGAGGCTGTGACTCAGCGCTGTGCAGTCTAAGACAAAACACATGGAAAACACACCATAATGCTTGATGATTACTCATCATGAACATATGTTTGTGCAGTCAAGAACACTGACAGAGACTTTCCCCATCTTGTGGGGTACAGCATGTCTTATGTTTCAGACCTCTAAACTTATGCAACAGCTGTAATCCTGAGAGCAGATGCTCAAATCACGTTCAGGAACATTCAGTTGATCTGGAAAACGTGATTAAACAGCCCTCGTTTGGTGAGAAGGTGTAATGACACCCAGATATCTGTCTTCTAGGTTTGCATCAGGGTTATTATAAAACCATTATTTATATATATACAGTATATATATATCATTTTAATTTCAGCTAGTTCCCAAGAAAACATTTCTCATTTTCATGTAGTTTAACTTTGTTCTAAAATAACTAAAACTAAATCTGGAAAAAAAACAAAACTAATAAAAATGACCAAAAAAAAATAAACCTCCACAAAAATTTAAATAAAAACAAAAAATATAAAAATAAATTCTAATTCAAACTATTAATAAAAACTATAATAATATATCATTGATACTAAATTCTGAGTCAAGTCCTTTTCGATGTGGTTGAAGAAACAAAATGAGCAAACAAGCACATTAAAGGTTTTCCAAATGTGTTATATTCCATACAATAGTTTTGTGATTTGAACAGTGATTTGAAGTCTACAATCTAACTGAATCAGTGAACAAATCATTATTTTGAGCCGGCTCTTTTCAGTAAACCAATTGATTTGGTTCAGAAACCAGACATATTCTTTTACAAATTGCATTGCATCAATGAGGTGCAAGAAGAAAAAACCCCCACAAGATAGACCATATATTATAAAAATGTGATTTAAATGAGAATGTGAATATATTGTGTGACTCTTAAATGACAGCAGTAATTTCTCTGAGAATCTTAGCAGCTCATGTGTAACGTGTGTTTGTATAGGAGACGTGGTACTGGGCTGGAGATGCAAGTGCAGACAATGTTGTGATGAGCGGAGTCAGATGCTCAGGAACTGAGATGAGTCTTCCTCAGTGTCTTCATCACGGCAAACACATCAACTGCCCCAGAGGAGGAGGACGCTTCGCTGCTGGGGTCACCTGCTCTGATAGTGAGACAATATCCTCTTACTGATTATCATGCTCTTAAGAATAGTGATTTCATTCCTTGTTTTTTTTTTATCACTAATGTAAGTAGACTAAAAAGCAGGTCCAAAAGTATTGTAGTATCTCACAATGTAATGCACTTCACTTAACCTTTAATTTCCACTGTGATGTAATATTTGTTCAGTAATATTTCATTTAATATTTCATTTTTTTCTTAAAATCTAACTTTAAAAATATTTATTTAATATAATATTCTTTAGCATTTTATATACATCTATGTACACAAAATTGTTTAAAAATGAAAAAAAAAAATCTATAATGCATACTGTTCCACACATACTTCTATTTAAAAGTTTAAAACACTTGTATTCATTAAAATAATCAAAGTGGCATTTATAATGTTGCAAACGATATCTGTGTTCTTTTGAAATTTCTATTCATCAAATAATCTTGAAAATCACAATTTCAAAAAACAAAATCAGCATATTAGAATGCTTTCTGAAGGATTGTGTGACTGAAGACTGGAGTAATGATGCTGAAAATCCAGCTTTGCATCACAAGATTTTTTTTTGTTTTTATAATACATTTAAAACAGAAAACAGTTGTTTTAAAATTGTAATAATATTTTTTAGTGATTGTTTTTATGATTTGATTTTGTTGGGTATTTTGAAACTAAATTTAAGATGGGTCATCAGCCCCATGTTTTCTAACCTGACCTGGTTGTCTAGACTGACACGCATGGAGGAATTTGCTCTGTCTGACCTCTGACCTCTGATCTCAGCGGCTCCTGACCTGGTGCTGAACGCTCAGCTGGTGGAGCAGACAACCTATCTGGAGGACCGGCCCATGTACGCTCTACAGTGTGCCCTCGAGGAGAACTGCCTGTCCAGCACTGCCAAAAAGAACGACCATAGCTCCTACCGCCGCCTGCTCCGCTTCTCCTCCCAGATCCACAATGTTGGCCAATCTGATTTCAGACCCAAAATGGGTCACCACGCCTGGACCTGGCACGAGTGTCACAGGCAAGACCTTAGACCCTGCAGTAAACACCATAAAAACAAACACATACAGTGGTGTGAAAAAGATATATATATATATATATATATATATATATATATATAAGTACACACACACACATGTATATATAATCTATATCTATCACTGAGCTTCACATCATATTGGCCAGAGAAATATATTTTTGCCATATCCGCCTTATTTTTCCAGTAAGAGCAGGTGTGGCCATTTGTAAATGTTATGGGTCTGGCTTCCGGTCTCATCCGTGTCCTGCAAATTGGTGTCTTACCATATTATTTTAATATATTATCTTAATTATGAACACACTGTTTTGTATTGCGAACAGTTTTATCGTTTATTGCATGTTGTTATTCTTCACGTTATTTCCATATAGCGGCTAATGAACCGGAAGTCTCACACACCAGCTTACTTTCTCATTGAAGAATAAGGTGGATAGGAGATGACAAATAAGACAAATCCATCCGTTTTAATGAAACATCAAAGATCTAATTGGTTGTTTTCTTTGATCCAGGTATTCAGAAACGGTATCTTTGTGCCAACTTTGGTGAACAGGGCATCACCGTTGGCTGCTGGGACACCTACAGACATGACATTGATTGTCAGTGGATCGATATCACAGATGTGAAACCAGGAGACTATATTTTCCAGGTAGCATTTTAACTGAAGTGAAGGAAAAAAGTTCAAGCATAACATAAAACAAAAATCACTGTAGTATGTTTTTACAAGAAAATACGTTTTCAGTCTTTCTACTTTAAAGTTTCATTCACTGCTTTATTTACTAACAATTTCTGAGTGAAAATAGTTTCTACACCATTTTTTCAGTATAGATATCAGGAAATCTAATTTTACTGACATGATTCTGTCACACAGGTCGTAATTAATCCTAACTATGACGTAGCCGAATCAGATTATACCAACAATTTCATGAAGTGCAAGTGTCGCTATGATGGATACAGGATATGGACGTACCACTGTCATACAGGTGAGCTGAGAATAATTGAAGGTATGCCGGCCGGGACATTTTAAAAGCTGTTAGAAGTAAATAACACAACCTCTACCCCTTTGCAGGTGGCTCGCAGAGTTCAGACATGGACGAATACCCTGGAATGAGCAATCAGTTGCACTTCAGATAGGAGCGGATGAGGACAAAGGCTCTCAGTGGAGGACGCTGCGGGCTGTCACTCAAGACTATTCAAATATGATTGACCACTACAGAGACTCCAGCACTTCGAAGGCAGAGACCGCTGCTCTTTTAGGTTTGAAGTACAGCATGTTCTTTCACGGTCCCCCGCTATATCAAGCTTGCTTTGAATAGAAACTATTTAAATTTCTGAAATGTACTGTACTTGCTGCATTTTTGGTGCTTGAAATGCTCGTTTGTTGGTTGTAGTGGTTACAAACCCATGCTGTAACGTTCATACTGGGATCTTCGATTCTTCCTGCATTATAACTTAAATCACAAAGCCTGCCGTTTCATGAACTCAACCCTATTTCTGGCTGTTTAGACTCTTTTGTGGTTAATTCATCAAGCATGTCAAGTAATTTATGTTCCGTCAGGGATTATGTTTTGTCAACTTTTGTGTATGCAATGTGAATCTGTAACCATTTGTTTTTTTGGCCAATTTGTGAAGCATCTACCCTCCGTTTTATGAGGGTACTTATGACCAGTTCAATGGTTTTCAGATATGCAATGTGTTTATGACTGAACAACACGTTTGGTCAAACCATTGCATTGTTTTCTATAATAAAAGCAATTCATGTGTGTTATTTGGAGGATGGTGTTTATGTTAACCAGACAACTAATGTTGTTCAATGGATAAAATGTGTGGAAACAAAGACGTGACACCAGTCAAAACAACAACAAACTAAACATTTAATCAAAGCATAATAAAAAACAGGTTAAGGTATCAAACTATTTTAAAACATCAGAGCAGAAATAAGTGAGTTTTTTTTTAAACAAATCAACAAAGTCAAATATAATAACTAGAAAACAAATCATGTAAAAACTGAATTATTTATATTTAGCATGCCAATAATACTACTGTATTTTAAACAATACAAATATATAGTATGCCAAAAATGTCATTTAGGCTCCATTCCCATCTCAAATGAAACAAGCTGAACATGAAGACATGAATATTCATGTGTGTTATTTGGAGGATGGTGTTTATGTTAACCAGACAACTAATGTTGTTCAATGGATAAAATGTGTGGAAACAAAGACGTGACACCAGTCAAAACAACAACAAACTAAACATTTAATCAAAGCATAATAAAAAACAGGTTAAGGTATCAAACTATTTTAAAAACATCAGAGCAGAAATAAGTGAGTTTTTTTTTAAACAAATCAAAGTCAAATATAATAACTAGAAAACAAATCATGTAAAAACTGAATTATTTATATTTAGCATGCCAATAATACTACTGTATTTTAAACAATACAAATATATAGTATGCCAAAAATGTCATTTAGGCTCCATTCCCATCTCAAATGAAACAAGCTGAACATGAAGACATGAACGCAACTGAGAAACAACAAGAACTTCCTATGACACACAGTCTAGTTCGTTTAATCATTAGATTCAATATTATGGTCCTGGACGACCCATTTTCAGGAAATCCAATGAGCAAAAGAGCTTATCTGTATTAAAAAAAAAGATTTAAGTTGATAAAAAGGATCTCTTTTATCATGGCTGGACCAGATGCTGGGCTTGTTAGTATGGAGAAACAGAGCAGGAGAAAAGCAGCAAGGCTGTTTCCTGCTAAAGACGAAAGAACAAAAGTCCTCTGAATGCTTACCAAAACTCACCCAGGAAATAATCACACGCTCACTTAACATACTATTAGCTTGTTTCCTAAAACAGTACAGAACTCAACCAATTAAAACTGGAAACTTGGGAGACCACATATATTTCATGTGCTGGAGAATTTCCACTTCCTCTGCAGCTAAAATAAAGCTTTATAGCATCTTCATACTAAGTCTGGGTGGTGTAGTAATTAATGTCATTTTCCCGGTGTAGTATTAACTGAAGTGAAAGACTGTCTGACTGTGATGAGGAACTTTATTTATTCAGTTGAAGTTGTTTCTCATTTCAAAGCGTCTCCCCCTCAAGCCCAGCGCTCTGGTCACCATCCTGCGAGCCACCACTGTGTCCGTACGTGGCCTTTCCTTCACCGGCTGAATGAACTCTGTGTGGATGACATATCATCATACTTGTTTAAAATCAGTAAAAAAATCAGTAAAATCAGTTCCTGAAATTCAGCTTCATCACAGGAACAAATTACACTTAAAAAAAATATTCAAATAGAATAAATTGTTTTAATATTCAAATAGAATTAATTATTTTAATATTATAATTATTTTAATAAATTGTTTTAATATTCAAATAGAATTATTTTAAATTGTAATGTTTTTTTTGTACAATATTACTGTTTTTGTTGTTTTTTTAAATAAATGCAGCCTTTAAACCATATGCAACCAACATTTACAAAAAGAGTACAAGACCTTCTCAAGTGTTTAAACCATTTTTTTTTTATTGTGGACACTAATGCCTTCTAATGTGACTCCATCTTTCTGAAAAGAGTTTTTTTCTGTGGCTTTCATACCTGCACGTCTGGCCGCTTTCCACTTTGCTTTCTGGCTCCCCTCCAGCAGCGGGCGGGTCTTCAGTATGGGATGTTTAATGGAGAGTGCCTGTGTAGCTGAACAGAGCCAAAAATGAGTTTGTCAAACATAAGAAAATAAATCATGATAATTCTTGATTCAAGAATGGAAAAAAATACTACCTTATGAAAAGTTACCTGCTAACTGACTTGAAAATACACCGAGAGCATGAGTGTTATCCACCCACTTGATCTTCATCCCCCCTTCACTGGAAACAGAAGCAGACAACTGTCACTTTGTAGATCTGTATCACTACTTTTTCTGTCACAATATAGAGGTGACTTATCACCTATAATCAGCAAAGGCATCAAGGAGATCATCTGTTTTAAACATGGCAGGAAAGCTGTAGATCTCAATGATGTGGCTGAACTCCTGCGGGTCAAGCCAGATGTTTGCATAGGCGGGGAAATCACTGCAGGTGTTGAGTATGGTGATGTCCCCATGTTTGAGTTTGGCTTTGATCTAACGACCAAGAAGAATGAATGACAACGTGTGAGAACAGACAGAATAAAGTTGGAAAGAGATGCATTGGGTCTCATTCACTAACCGTGCGTACTTTTCATAATCAAGTCAGGATTCATCAATAGGTTTTGTACTAATATTTATTCTAAATTTACAAAAAGGTTTAGGAAAAACTGAAACCACGCATACACAAAATCACATACTCTGGGTAGCCTTATAAATTTTACACATAGATATTTAATCTCTATACTACCATATTTTCCAGAATATAAATATAAGTCCTGTTAAATGATCATCTGAATGCGCTGCAACTTCTATAATACAACATCAAGCAAGCAAAACATGACTTTTGGATTTGTGCTGAATAAGAGAGGTAGCCAAGTGAGCCAAAGTTTTGTTTTTGCTTTAAATAAATGTGTTTAGGTTTGGCATTTATAGTAAATTTTGTTTAGAATTAATGCCACTATGATACGTGTTTGTTTTATACTTCTACATTTTATTTCTGTTCTGAATATCATTAAATTTAAAGGATTTATTGTGGAGTGAAAGAACCTAAATGACATGTTTATAGTGTTTATGTTTTTGTCAATGTTTCGTATATTTACTGTTATTTTACATTATTTCTGAATTTAATAATCAAATGTGACTTACACACTGATGCAACTTATGTTTTTTTTTTTTATGATTTTGACCAGTGTTATTTTAGTATTGCGATACTATTATAGTTTATTATATTTAGAATTTGTTTTTAATTTTATATAATTAACTCCTTTTAACTTTAAAGTTGTATTAATTTTGTTGTTTGGTTAATTTTTTTTTATAAGTCTGCTTAGTATTTATTCATTTTTATTTAGAATTAGTACATAGTTAATTGTAATTTTTGTAATATTTCATATTTCAGTTCGCGATTATATTATTTTTTTTAAGAGTCAATTTTTAGTTTTAGTTAACTATAGTAGCTACAGACAGATTCAACTTATTTTCCACACCTGGCATTACTTGAGAAGTGCTTTAGACAGCGTCACGTTTGCCGAGAGTGATGTAAGGCTGTAGAGGAGAGCTGTACGGAAAGCTCTTACATGGAGATGGTTTGGGCGTTTTATTCAAATAACTAACCTTGGGCCCACGTTCACTCATTTAGAATACTCAAGATTCAATAACATTAGATCAAGGTCAAGAATAAATTCATGTGTTGTGAATCAGGTGGACACTCTCCTGTGCGTATAAATTCCAATAATCCATGCAATTATTAGTGAATGAGACCCATTAAATTAGGATACCTCAGAGAGCAAACTTTCATCAACGTCCTGCTGCTGTAGTAGTGTGGCATCAGTGGGAAGGAACGTGTTGTTGGCACATTTTTCATCTGTTTCGTCATCTAACGTCAAAGAGGTGAAAAAAGACACAGTCTGCTCCCAGGCTGGAGGCCACGGTGACGGACCAGACCTTGAAAGCTGCACAAACTCCTCATCGCCCAGTGCCTGGCCAGTGCTGTCCACCTCTGGCTTCTGACTGGCTACAAGAGGTTCCTTAGTAACATCAGAGCAGGATTCCACAGATGATTCCTTAAGATTTGGATGTTCCAGAACTATCTTATGTCTCATAGCACGCGGAACGTAAATAGCCTTTTCTGGCCGTCTGGCTCTCTGCCTGCTGTTGAAGCTGGGCTCCAGTGAGCGTGTGTTGCTGTTGTTCTCCATGACTCTGTCCCGACTGCGTGCTCGCCCATGGGAACTGCCCTCCACATCTCTCTGGTCTTCTTCTGGCAACCTGTCAGATGCACCACACACTGCTGGGTTACTTGCAAATTGTAGTTTGTTACTGATTCCAAATTACATGACAAAAATTGGAGTTAGTAAAGCAATCCTTTACAATACACATTTTAGGTAATATAATCGGACTACTTTTTGATTATGTTTAGATTACATTTAATTATAAATAATTTTAAAATAACAACAATCAAATAAAACACTTACTAAAAAAAAAAATTAAATATTTTATTAGTTTGCTTGTCGTGTCAATTAACCAACGAATGTGCAAATGTGTTCATTAACTTAATGTGTTAAATAACTTAATACCTTAAAATCTCAGGTGGTACTTCAAGTAAATATATTTTTGGCTCACAAAAGAAGAAATAACCAGATTATTTTTTCTTTCAATTTTTACTGTGTTTGAAAGCCTTCCAAAGACATAGTAATACATGGTTAAATAACCCACTGAGTGATTATTCAAATAAAAATTAAGGTGTTCATTAGTAGTTGATGTAATGTTGAAACGCTGAAAAAAATTGAAATGGTCGGATGCTGTGTGCCCTCTCAATTCTCTGTGTAACAATAGCCACCTGACTAGTCTTCCGTGTGAATGTTTGCAAAACTGGAAGACTTTCTTAACGTATATAAGCGGTAGACTATTTAAGAAAATAACTCTTAAAAGATAAAAAAGAAGAATTAAGGAGATTCAATAAATTAGGAATAATTTATTGCTATTGTGTGAATAATATGTAATCAATAAAAAAAGTAACTGTAGTCTGATTACGAGATTATGATTTTAAAATCTAATTACAATTTCTTTATTTTTGGAACCACAATGATGAGACACTAAAACTCTGGCAGCTTTACCTGAGGTCTGAACAGCACACTACAACTCTGCGTGCGCAGCCCTCGCCCACGGAGAAGGTGCTGAGGTTGGGATGATTCGTGCAGGTTTGGTGAATCAGGAAGCGAAGTCGGCTCGGGACAGGTGGGAAGAGTAGAATGCTACAGATCAGAACATTTCAATTCGACAATATGGCAGGAAGCCCAAAGTACACATGCATAAGAGCCTGATATACATACACACACACACACTGTATATGCTATATGCAAAATTCATTGACACTATGTTAGGGTTGTTGTCAAGGCATTGCAGTTTCTAGGGTGTTCTGAGTGTTTCTAGCATGCTGCTATGCAATTGCTATGGGGGTTTGAGTGTTTTTAATCTGTTGCTAAGTGGTTTTGAATGTTCTTAAGTGTTGTTTTGTCATGCTGCTATGCAGTTTAAGGGTTCCAATTGTTTTTAGTGTGCTAATTTGAAGTTCCTAAGAGGTTTTTCAATGATTTTAGCACGATGCTATGCAGTTGCTAGGGTGTTCCGAGTGTTGCCATGCAGTTTCTAGGTTATTTGAGCGTTGCTATTCTGTTTTTAACATTCAGGCTGCTTTAAGCATGTGGCTATGCTGTTGCATAGGGAGTTTAGTGTATTTTTAGCATGCTGCTATGTAATTGCCAAGGGGTTTTGAGTGTTTTAACATGTTGCTGTGCAGTTGCTAGGGTGTTCTGGGTGGCTTTTTATCAGCCCAAGTGGTCCTCATGTCCCTGTATGACCATGAACTACTTGTTCAAGTATCTATCATGAGCAACAGTATTGTCAAACATTTCTAATAACGTTGGTGAATATTATTAAGGAAGGCTGCCAGTGTCCCTTCTTCAGATATGTGATGAAATGACCTTTTTTGCTCATTTCTCTGTTGAAACTCATCCAGCTCCTCGAGGACTGTATGGATGAATTCAGTCTCTTGTTTGGGGAGGTAACAGCCATTGACACAAGGAAGAGCCAGGGTGTTAGAGGACGACGACCTTTATCCACGGAGACTTAGAGGAGATACTTCAGTCTCTACACAGAAAAAAACACATTACAGGGCGGATCAGAAACTTACAGGCCAAACCTCACATAACAGCAATATAAAGCTCTGCGCTTGTGTTCACTCCGGCAAACTAAAGGCAGACATTTTATCATTCATTCACATACAGCTTCCCAAAATAAAACCTAAAATGAAGGCACTTGTTTTATTGTAGCCTGCTCAAGTATGAGTCAAATACAAACAACTAACTTAACGGTATAACAGGGGACCTGAATGACATTAAACATCTGCGCGTGAATCTAACCCATAACCGCTTGAACATGAGCAACTAGCTTAGCTTAGCACACCACTCTCACTCAATAACATTAAACGCGTTTCAGGACGCGACTGGACAAATGAACTCATACCACTCTAAAGAGACATTTAAACACGAGTAAACCCCAGTTTAAACGACAACTCAAACAGCCGCAAACACCGTAACAACTACATTTAACTAGCACCTCTGACGTCATGACGATTTCCGGTGTGAAGGTTTAAGTCGCCTGCCTCTAGCGGCCAGGGGTGCAATTACAGTACAGTCGCCATGTTAACTCAGAAATTATTCATCATTTATTGATTCTATCTAATTCTTCTTTTCCCCCTTTTAGATTGTCCGTTTTCATTTCTACTGTGCGTCATTTAGCGATCCATGCTTGTGAGGACAAATACCTTTCAGTCAGTTATTCCATATATGAGACACATAATTACACAAGTTACTAAACACTGTCAATGTATAACTGACTAAAATATTGAAATCCTGAGAGAGTTTGACCATGTCATTGCTGTTTCCGTGTTTATTATTGTTTGTTCCGATGCAGGGACTCCCAAACATTTTGTCAGTCAACCCCATAGACTGTTTGGTCAACCCCTTTGAGTACTGCGTGCTCGCCCATGGGAACTGCCCTCCACATCTCTCTGGTCTTCTTCTGGCAACCTGTCAGATGCACCACACACTGCTGGGTTACTTGCAAATTGTAGTTTGTTACTGATTCCAAATTACATGACAAAAATTGTAGTTAGTAAAGTAATCCTTTACAATACACATTTTAGGTAATATAATCGGACTACTTTTTGATTATGTTTAGATTACATTTAATTATAAATAATTAAAAATTTAAAATTAAAATAATTTTAAAATAACAACAATCAAATAAAACACTTACTAAAAAAAAATGAAATATTTTATTTGTTTGCTTGTCGTGTCAATTAACCAACGAATGTGCAAATGTGTTCATTAACTTAATGTGTTAAATAACTTAATACCTTAAAATCTCAGGTGGTACTTCAAGTAAATATATTTTTGGCTCACAAAAGAAGAAATAACCAGATTATTTTTTCTTTCAATTTTTACTGTGTTTGAAAGCCTTCCAAAGACATAGTAATACATGGTTAAATAACCCACTGAGTGATTATTCAAATAAAAATTAAGGTGTTCATTAGTAGTTGATGTAATGTTGAAACGCTGAAAAAAATTGAAATGGTCGGATGCTGTGTGCCCTCTCAATTCTCTGTGTAACAATAGCCACCTGACTAGTCTTCCGTGTGAATGTTTGCAAAACTGGAAGACTTTCTTAACGTATATAAGCGGTAGACTATTTAAGAAAATAACTCTTAAAAGATAAAAAAGAAGAATTAAGGAGATTCAATAAATTAGGAATAATTTATTGCTATTGTGTGAATAATATGTAATCAATAAAAAAAGTAACTGTAGTCTGATTACGAGATTATGATTTTAAAATCTAATTACAATTTCTTTATTTTTGGAACCACAATGATGAGACACTAAAACTCTGGCAGCTTTACCTGAGGTCTGAACAGCACACTACAACTCTGCGTGCGCAGCCCTCGCCCACGGAGAAGGTGCTGAGGTTGGGATGATTCGTGCAGGTTTGGTGAATCAGGAAGCGAAGTCGGCTCGGGACAGGTGGGAAGAGTAGAATGCTACAGATCAGAACATTTCAATTCGACAATATGGCAGGAAGCCCAAAGTACACATGCATAAGAGCCTGATATACATACACACACACACACACACACTGTATATGCTATATGCAAAATTCATTGACACTATGTTAGGGTTGTTGTCAAGGCATTGCAGTTTCTAGGGTGTTCTGAGTGTTTCTAGCATGCTGCTATGCAATTGCTATGGGGGTTTGAGTGTGGCTCGGGACAGGTGGGAAGAGTAGAATGCTACAGATCAGAACATTTCAATTCGACAATATGGCAGGAAGCCCAAAGTACACATGCATAAGAGCCTGATATACATACACACACACACACTGTATATGCTATATGCAAAATTCATTGACACTATGTTAGGGTTGTTGTCAAGGCATTGCAGTTTCTAGGGTGTTCTGAGTGTTTCTAGCATGCTGCTATGCAATTGCTATGGGGGTTTGAGTGCATTAACTAATGTTTAACTAATGAACCTTATTGTAAAGTGTTACCGTTCAAATATTTGAAGTCCTCTAAGACTTGAAGTTATGGCTCTCTGATGTCAGTTAATGGTCAAGTGCAGGTAAACTAAACAAATAAAACACTTCAAATGTGGGTGTTTTATTTTAAAATGATTTCCTTTCAATTAAAAAATGAATTACTTATTAGCTTTTCATCAACTCATAAACCCCCTGCAGGAAACCACGGAGTAACTTAATCTTTATCACATTTCATAATGTTGATAAAAAAATGAATGGAATATATTTAACTTTTTTTAATAAAAAATCTTTTTATAGCTTATTACCTAACGTTAGTGAAGATTAGTAAATACAGTAACAAATGTATTGCTCATGGTTAGTTCATGTTAGTTTATACATTAACTAATGTTTAACTAATGAACCTTATTGTAAAGTGTTACCGTTCAAATATTTGAAGTCCTCTAAGACTTGAAGTTATGGCTCTCTGATGTCAGTTAATGGTCAAGTGCAGGTAAACTAAACAAATAAAACACTTCAAATGTGGGTGTTTTATTTTAAAATGATTTCCTTTCAATTAAAAAATGAATTACTTATTAGCTTTTCATCAACTCATAAACCCCCTGCAGGAAACCACGGAGTAACTTAATCTTTATCACATTTCATAATGTTGATAAAAAAAATGAATGGAATATATTTAACTTTTTTTAATAAAAAATCTTTTTATAGCAAACAATTGGTGTGTGTGTGTGTGTGTGTATACAGTGGATATATATATATATATTAGTGCTGTCAAATGCATCCAAAATAAATGCTTTTGTTTACATAGTGTGTGTACTGTGTATATTTATTATACATCTATAAATACACAAACATACATGTATGCATTTAAGAAAAATGTTTTGTTTATATACATTACATTATATAATACTAATGATATATGAATATAAATATAATATATATATATATATACACATGTAAATATTTTTACAATATATACATGTATGTTTGTGTATTTATATATACATAATAAATATACACAGTACACATTATGTAAACAAAAACATTTATTTTGGATGTGATTAATCGCAATTAATCATTTGACATCACTAATATATATATATAAAATGAAAACATTGCAGACAATGTAATTAATTTGCTCAAGAAAACACTTTATTGTACGATACAGTTTAAATAAGTGTCAAAAGATTTTCAAAAAAGACATTGATACAACACTGATAAAAAGATTTACGCAAAAGACAAGTCAAACTGACAGCAGTCTGAAATATAAGCTGGAGATGCAATATTAAATGCAAGCCATGCCTTTTAAGGATTTATGGCATTTGTGTGTAATAAGGATTATATTGCAGACCCCAATAAAAGTACAGTAGTTGATTGGTAAATATAGTAAAATGTAGTGTTAAAACAGCATGGAAGAAAACACAAACTGTTTTTGTAGAGGGGAGTGGAATAGAACAGTGACTTAAAGTAACTAAACTGATTATTACATAAAATCATTAAATATAACAAACTGTAATTCTCAGTCTCAAATTTCCACATACAGAAAACTGAAGCTTCTTCATGAATGTTATGACCGTTTTAACAAGCACCAATTGGAGCAGATTTCTCAAAAACAATTTTTTTACTATAAGAACACAGTCACAAAAGATCTGAATAATCAAGATTCAACTGTATCGTGACTGATCATTGTGCACTTAATCCATACTTCCCATTCAAGACAAGTACATACAGAAAACAAGAGAAGGGAACGCACTGGAGCTGCAATATAAAATTACATGGCACAACATAGATTTAAAACAACTCGGATTAAGTAAGACATTGGAAAGCTGTTAACTGAGGGAAAGCTGGTTTGGAGAGTTTCACTAAGATACATAATATAACCACTCTCTCCCTCTGTAAAAAAAAAACAAATGAATGGATCGGTGGTCTGGAAATAAAGGTATACTATCTTCATTTAAAGCAATAGGGCTGTGATATCATGAGATGGAGAAGCAGGTTCTGAATCCAGCAGGCCAATAATCACGATCCAAACATGATCCTGCAGGAAAAAATAAAACATTGCACTTCATTATTTCAAGATGATTATCCAACGCACTAAATACATTGGATATCGTCATATTTAGATCAAAAAGGACTTACCTTTGGTGTGTTTTATCTTGAACCAATACTTCTATCCTCAAAAATAATGATCTCCACCTTTGAAAACTCAAGTTAAGGAAATGAACTGCCGTAAGACTATGAAAGTTTTTTTTTTTTTTTTTACAATTCAAAAGTTTGGGATAAGATTTTTGAACTGTTTTTGAAAAGTCTATAATGCTCACCAAGACTGAATTACTTATGTTCAGAAATACAGTAAAAACAGTAATAAAAAAATAATTAAATGTTATTACAATTAAATAAGCATCATTACTTCAGTCTTCAGTGTCACATGATCCATCAGAAATCATTCTCAAGAAACATTTCTTATTATTAACAATTGAGCTGCTTAACATGATATTTCCACATTATATATATATATTTCTCCTCTTTCCTACTACTTGTTTCACTTCCGTTTCAGTTTTTATAACCATTTCTTACTATGTGTACATAAGTTAGTGTTTTTTTAGCATGTGTGTTTGGCAGTGTTATTTTTTAGGATTACTGAAACTACTGTCGTTTGATTTGTATTAGTTATTTATTTTAATTTTAGTTAAATTATGTCTGAATTTATTATGTCTGTACAGGTCTTTTGTTAAGCTTTAGTTTTATTTAATTTGAGTTATTTTAATACTTCAACAAACTAAATGGAAATGAAATAATATATATAT